GGAGCTGAGCTGAATGAGAGAGAGAGAGAGATGCAGAGCAGGGGACGTGAGGAACAGGATTAAGAACCGCTGCTTCAGAACACTGATTTTGAATCTTGTGAATCATTATAACCGTTAGAAGACAGAATCGCGATTCATATATGAATTTACCTTTATTCCACACCTCTCTGTCCCTTCTCTGAGAAACGTGCTGATCATTTCCTTCTTTTATGAAGCCCCTCCCTCAGAAATAGGTGATGGGCTCTGATTGGTTAGCTAGCCCAGAGTGTTATGAGTGGCTAAACCGCCTCTAAGCGTCCCGCCCCTCAGCTCAGCGGCATGTGCTCCGGTTGTATTGTAAACAACGGCGTCGTTAATATCGCTTATCACTTTGAGACTGATTGAGAAGCAGAGGATATTATTGAAGAGGATCGTGCAGAACCTGTACAAGCAATGTTTTTTGTTTGTTGTTGTCTCATACTTTTAGATACGCTGTTATTGGAACAGTTCATTGTTGGAGCTGAGCTGAATGAGAGAGAGAGAGAGATGCAGAGCAGGGGACGTGAGGAACAGGATTAAGAACCGCTGCTTCAGAACACTGATTTTGAATCTTGTGAATCATTATAACCGTTAGAAGACAGAATCGCGATTCATATATGAATAGATTTTTACGGACACCTCTAGTTTTTTCTTCCTCTTCTCTAAAGCAGCGCAGCATGGCCACGCCCCCTTTGCTGCCTTTTCCCGGGGGCGGGGTTTATCTGGGTTTGTGATGTCACGAACCCAGGAAGTAACTTGTTGTAGTCCCTACCAGCCGTTTTTGTAGGCATTAAACTGCCAGAATTTTAAAAGACGATATCACCGTTTGCATTGAACTTTCAGCTTCGTAACTTTGCAGATATTGTTTATGCTCAAACAGCAACATTACACACTAACTAATGTTAATAAAGTGAAATCGCAATCAACCACCCCTTTAACAACTACCTTACTAACTATTAATAAGCAACACATTAGGAGTTTATTGAAGCAAAAGTCGTAGTTAATAGTAAGAACTGGTCCCCAAACTAAAGTGTGACCAAATATATAAACCTGGTTATTTAAAACAGATTCAGTTTATTAGTTCAATTACAGAAATCTGACAAATATGCATCGCATTACATTTATTACTGTGTAATCCAAATGGATGGAAATTTTATATGAAATTCAAATAAATAAATTTAGCCCTAGATTGTTTTTTTTCCCAGTCTGTGTTGGTCTTTATTGCAGTTAAAGTAATAGGTCACAAGTTCAAATGTCATTTGCAATTAAGTAAGAAAAACAAAGACTCGATTAAGTGATTTTTTATTTTTATTTATTTTTTATTTTTTTGCATTGAGTGCGAACAGGAACGTTGAGTGTGAATGTAAGCATTTTTGAGGAGACTGTGAAGTCTATGCATAACAATTCTGTAAAGTTACAGTGATGGATGCCATACTTGATTTTCCAGCCGTGCAGCGTGGCATAAATAAAATGTGCATATTATTATTTTACGGTTTATTGATTTTATTTCTATCTTTGCTCATATTGTTTGTCATTTTCATTTATTTGTCATGTGGTGATTATTCATATCTCATCTGATGATGTTTTTAGTTTATGGTGTTAGAATGTTGCAGTAAATCTTGAGGTCCGTGCACATCTGAATGGAAAGAATGACATGCTCACAAACTCTTCAAACAACAATACGTTGTGATGAGGTGAAACCAATCATTTGTTCCATGAAAAAGCTCCTACCTTCTGTCGTCACATTTGGTCATGTCTAACCGCTTGCTTGCTGGATAATAAGTGTCCTTGCACTGAATGATCTTATGATCTGCTCATTTATTATGAACCGCCATAAAAAGCGGCCACCAATAAAGCCTATACCATCTTTGGTCTTGAACACCTTTTAAATAACTTACATAGATGAATAGATATGCCGTTTGAAAAATAAAAAGTTCTTCTGACACTTACGTTATACCTGTTGTTTGATTTATGCTACATTCTTTTGCCTATTTAAATCTAGAATTCTCCATTGCTTTAAGCTTTAGGCTTATGTATCCATTATTCTAGACCACTTTTTTTTATCATTTTTTCTTCACATGTTTCACACACACGCACTCTCAAACACACACACACACACACACACACACACACACACACACACACACAGACACACTGGTTTCCATGTTTGATGGGTTCATTCCAAAGACATAATGGTTTTTCTACTGTACAAACTGTATTTTCTATCCCCTTACCCTAAACCTACCCCTCACACAAAACTACAGGCATTTTTACATTCTCAAAAAACTTCATTCTGTATGATTTATAAGCTTGTTTTGCTGATGGGGTCCAAAACAATGTCCCCACAAGGTCAACATTTACTGCTATTACTATCCTCGTGGAGACATTTGGTCCCCATAGTGTAAGGAATACAAACACACACACACATAAAAATGTTACACGTTACAAATACTGTAAAGTTTCGAAATGTATTTAATTATTTAGTTAGTTATCTTGTCACAGAAAGAAGAAAACTGTAATGTCTGAGCATGAACTGAATTCACTTGAAAAGGAAACAATTGTTAGTAACGTGTGACATAAATGACATAAATTGCTACACTGACCGTGTGCTTTTCCTTTACAGATCGAATGAAATGATTGCTTCTTTTACTTATTTTCTGTATGGTTCACCAAGAAACAAGGCTCATCTTCACCCTTTACTCTTTCTAGTCTCTAGTATAACTGGGAAGTGTGGTTAATTGTGCAGGACAAAAACATTATGAGACATGGTGTTCTTTTACTTTTCTTGCAAACTGAATTCAATTAGCAGAGAAAGTTCTTTGAAAATTGGCTTTCTGGTGATCATTTGAATCAATGTAGCAATAGGTTGAACTGTGCCAACTTGCATTGATAATGCATTAATTAATAACATTACTGTAAAATGTAATAATGCTGATTCTTTGTACTTTCCTTTTGTGTTTTCTCCAGAGAACGCCAGTAAACAACGGGGAAGCGTTTCGATGGTTCTTTTAGGACTCTGAAACAAGTGACATCAAATGCAGTAATGCCACAGACTGACCACAAAAAAACTCACAGGGACCCAAAAAGCGCAGACTGTGGACGACAGAGACTCATGAGAGACGGCGGGACAAAAAAACAAAAACAAACTTTGCAATTTTATTTCCTGTGTAATTATTATTGTACTATTGGCAGCATCATAATGTATATTTTTCAGTGTCTGTCAATGTGTTTTAGTGTCTCGGCTGTGCAAGTTGCAGCCATTCTTGTAAAGAACCGAGTAGACAATCTCAGCCAGTGGACTAATGGCCAATGCAATCACAAACCTCTTTAAAACACAACACATATTTTTAGATCTGGAGCAATAATCATAAAAGTAATTGTTCTCTGCCATCATATTCCAAGCGTTCTATGGAATGATCGTAAGAATACCTCTTGACCTCCATTATTAATGTGATGTTTAGTAAACAAAAGCCAGTACGTTTCTTTCTTTTCAGCTGTGTTGATTTAGTTTGGCATATTGCAGTTGCGCATTAGCTTGTTGCCATTGTGCACTTTTAAAAGTACAGTAACACTGAGAGGTGATTTAAGGTTGTTTGTATAGTCTCGCAAAGTTTGATTGGATTCCATTTAGTTTCGGTTGAAACTGTTTTAAAAGCTGCCCAAAGGTAGGTAGAGAACATCACCGTAAGATTCCTGACTTGCATTTTTAATTCTCACAACACCGTAAAATACTCATTCCGAAATTAATTATCCAATAAGTTGCTCACTGTCTTTACCGTAATGTTGCATGTGTAAATGTGTTTTTGTTTTGAAGATAACTAAAAATGTGTATATTGTTGTTGTGATGCTTTTACGTGTTAAAATAATAAAAGAAACAAAAAAATTAAATGTCATGTGACGCCAGGTGACATTTTTAATCACACATATACAGTTAAATGTCATAGTATATATTTCTCGTCTTTTTCTTATCCTAATGCAGGCATATGAGTTTCCTGTCTCTGTGTAATTGTAATGCAAGCCATCTCAAAGGATAAAAAAGCGGGAAGAAAATACAGGGGGAAAAAATGCATTGTCAGTCCCATCTTCGCCTAGAATGCAAAAAATGTCAGATGGAAAAGAGAGTGGCTCCCAGAGGCGTTAAGCTTTAAAGAAATCCCATGCGGTTCGCAATGCGTGGAAAGGGTGAGTTTTGGGGGGATGGATGGGATACTGAAGGCTGATGAGGAGACGGTGTTTGTGTATATCAGGCTTTGGATATTGTGAGTTCGAAATCATTTCTGAAGATGCGAAAAAGGGAACACATGGATTTTTTTTTGGAAACAATTGATGGGAAACAACATTATTGATAACTAAACACTAACACCTAGTTCCAAACTAGCTAGCTTCGTCTCGGTGATTACATTAGGCTAAACTGCAAACTGCAACCCTGTTATGTATCCAGGTACAAAATTAATGTTACTTGTTAATTTTGAAATTTTGTCAGCCATTTTTATTGTTCCAAATGAAATACACATGCTGCGTCCCAATTCGCCTACTTATACTATGCCCTAAAAGTATGTACTCTTTTTGTGAAGAAAAAGTACATACTTTTGAGTATGTAGAAGAATAGTAGGCAAGCTTTGGGACATACTATTTCGTCATAGCTGCTTCTTTAAGGGATGCTCTGTTGCTTAGTTACGCGCATTCTGTCAGTTTAAACTGCCCTGTCAATCATCTTGTCACAGTTAACATCATCCACATTTAGTTTAATTTGATTTCCTACCGTATTGGAGAGAAATGAAGAGGTACGTGCCAGTCGCGGGGTCTATCATGCCGAGAACTCTGCTCATGTGTTTGCATAATGATGCATTTAAAAGTTAATGACCTATCGTATCATTATAAAAGTTCACAGTGTTGCTGCAGATGAAATATAACGTGGATAACATTAAATTTATATTTTTTCATCAGGTTAGACATTGATAATTTATCACTCAAATCCGTTTGATCGCGTATATCCGCCATGTTTGGCACTTTTAATGCATGTTTGTAGTTCTGATTGAATCCTCATCAACCGTGCAATGTGTTGTGGGCAATATTAGCCGTTAGAGCGTGCATCGATCTGCACTTCGAATTCTAACCGGAAGTAGTAGACCATCCGGGAATCTTTGGCATACTTTTTTAAACATACTATGATTTGGGACATACTAATTCTATTTTCTAATACTATTTAGGACGGATAGTATGCGAATTGGGACGCAGCTACAGTGTACAACAACTCCGTATATACAAACTGAACAAACCTGAAAAAAATGTAAAATACGTGCTTGTGGCAGCGTTTCTGCAGCACAGATATTACGTGTTTCGCAGCAGTTTCAAAGTGAAATAGGCTATCACGTGTCAAATGTTCCAACCCTAAGCCTACCCGATAGTGTTAACAAACACAAAAGTGATAGAAAACTGCATTTTTGGGACATACTAATTCTATTTTCGAATACTATTTAGGACGGATAGTATGCGAATTGGGACGCAGCTACAGGTACAACAACTCCGTATATACAAACTGAACAAACCTGAAAAAAATGTAAAATACGTGCTTGTGGCAGCGTTTCTGCAACACAGATATTACGTGTTTCGCAGCAGTTTCAAAGTGAAATAGGCTATCACGTGTCAAATGTTCCAACCCTAAGCCTACCCGATAGTGTTAACAAACACAAAAGTGATAGAAAACTGCATTCACTGATGCAGCTGTGCTGTTTTAACTTCCTTTTACGTGGATTTGAGCTGTTTTGTTGAACTGTAGTTTCACGGGATTCGTACCGGAGAGCTTGTGCAACAAACCTACTGTGCTCGAAAATTATATATATGAAACTGAATATGTAACGCTAACATTGAAAAGTATCAGTTTTCAGATCTGGCAGCATGTTAAAATCATTTTGAGGTCATAACATGATATTGTGTATTGTTATACAGCCTCTGCAGCGATTCGTTGCATTTACTACCTAAATGGTACATATTAGAATCATTTTTTTTTTCTGAGTGTGTAAGATTAAAATGCATTTGCTGAAGTGACCATGCATTTTAACATTGAACTCTTTTATCGTGACTTGTTTCACGGATGTTGTACCAGGTGCGCTACTGAGCAAGTTTACTACATCAGAAAAGTCCCACATATGGGCTGATTATGTGATGCAAATGTTAAAATGTATTTGTTTACAAATCATGCACTGTTTAAAGTATTTTGAGGTCATAGTATTAGTAAGGAATGATAAATAAAAACGTTATTAATCGAGAATCTACCCTGTAATCATAATTTTTGAGAAAAGTAATAAAAGTAATTGGTGTTTTCCTGCTACTAGCAGTCATTTTAGCTGGAAACTGCAGTTTTGTTTATTTTGATGCAGAATCTGAATTTACACATTATGATTATGTCAAAATTCTAAATTAAATTATAGATTTTTATTTTATGCCAAAAATCATTAGGATATTAAGTCTCAATTTCGAAAAATTGACCCTTATGACTGGTTTTGTGCTCCAGGGTCACATTTTGTTTTATCCCCTGAGGTTGACAATCAGCACCAAGAAAAAATGCCTTAATTTTTAAGAGTGTCTGATGAAAGTATACTTGTTACTGACTCTTCGCAGGCTTCTCTGCTGTTCAGGAAAGTATGTTGTGCAGGAATTATGAAGCGTTTGAACAGCTGGTGGTACATGAGGAATATGACTGCAGTTGGCAGCAGCCTCATCTATGCCAAATCCCCTCGGCTCGCGATCACAAGGTGATAAGGGCCATCAAGAGCATGTTGAATGCTGAGATTAAACCACATCAGAGAGGGCTCTAATCCTCCTCTGTTCTTGAACCCATTCACACACCTCGATTTCAAGTAGGTTCCCTGAAAACACACAGTCCTCCACTGCATAAAGAAATTAATACAAAAACATGTGGCCGTGGAAAGTGCTCTTTACGTAAAAATCAACTGTTCATAGATTTTATTTTTATTCCACAGGTCATATAAATAATCTTCAAAATATAGCACTCGGAAAAAAAAAATGTCTTAGTATTTTTTTTTTTTATCTTGTTTTCTGGCATAAATATCTAAACATTTACTTGAGAAGCAAAATGACTTAAAATATGAAGTTTTCTGAAAAATGTATCAAAATGTTGTTAGTTTTTGCCTGAAACGAGCAAATATCTGCCAGTGGGATAAGAAAAACAATCTTAATTAAAAGGGAAAACAAGATTATTTTTCTATACCCCACTGGCTGATATTTGCTCTTCTTAAACTAACTAAATTCTGATACATTTTTCAGAAAATAAGACTTAATAGCTTAAGTCATTTTGCTTCTCAAGTAAATACATCTTGATTCAAGAATGTTTAGATACACTGTAAAAAAAATCTGTAGTTTTTACAAAGTTTGGCAGCTGTGGTTGCTAGAAAAATGTAGTAAAAAATACAGAAAAACTGTAAAAACATTTACAGAACAAACTGTAAATTTTACAGTATACGACTAATTTACAAACAAGAAAATTTGAGTGTAAACTAATAAACTCAACAATGCACACTGCTACTAAAATCAGTTTTGTATCTTTAACATAAACTGACAAGCACCATAATAATGCAGGTGGTAAAAGAGACAGCAATATGAAGAATCAGTTCATCACAAGAAGCTTTTCCACAAGCTGAAGCATATACTAATATATAGAAGGTGCACAGAGTCATTCATGCAAACACTAAACACCATCACGGTGACACACACGACACTTAAATAATGCAATAAACATTAATTAAACAACAGAAGATGTAACATAAACCCACATGTACATAACTGATAACAAACATGACAAAGCTACAGAAACATGATTATTTAAACAAAATACTTTCAAATGTGGAGTGTCACGCAGGGAATTCTGGAAATATCAGTTAAATTTTTTTTACTGTAAAATACACTGATTTGTTCTTTTTTTACTTCTAAAAATTTTACAATTAAAAGCATTTTACTGTAAAATTACATGAAATGTCTGGTTAGATCTTTTACAGTTTTTCCCTGTATATAGTACGGGAACTTACAGTTAACCTATCAACAGTTTTTTTTTTTTTTGTAGGGTTTTTACAATCTTTTGCAGTAAAAATTACACTCATTTTTTTACAGTGTATTTGTAATGGAAATTCAAGACAAAAATACTAAGTAAGAACATTGTTTGCAGTGAGGATTAATTCAGTTACACAATTAAACTATGTGAAAACTTCTTTCAGTGAACAATGACAACATTAGAAGTGTAGAAAGATATTTCTACGGGGGGGAGGGGGGTTCATTCCTCTCAAAATGATCCAGGAGTCCAGGAAGAGAGAAAATAGAATTTTGAGACACTTTGCTCAAAAAGAAATAGAGGGAATGAGAGTGTAAAGCTGGAGCATGCCCTCCTTTTTATTATTTATTTCCCGTCTGCATTTTTTTTCACAGTTCACATGTTGATGTGGAGAGACCGGGGTGTGAGTGTGCGTCAGAATCGTTTCCTGATGAAGGTGACAAAGTGGAAGTAATCAGCAGAGCTCTGATCCAGCATGACAGCCCTAGCGCTCACGAGCAGGTAGAGCAAAGAAAAGAGAGAGTTTTTTAAAAATGCTGTTGTCTCTTCATACTTGGATGACTGGCATCATCAAAAGGTAAAAAGGTGAACGGTTCAAATATATAACGGCAGAACTGTAGTATTTGTTGCAAAAGTCTTGAACATGTTTGCA